GCACCCGGCTAGAGCGGCGAAGGAGCGAAGCAACCGCGTCCGTCTCGGCGGTTCACGGAACAGTATGCGTCKTTCCCGAGTTGTCTCTGAAAGATGTGTTTTTAGGTAAACTCCTGCGTGACGTGGCCGGGAGGGCCCTCGTTTTCACGCGAGGGCCGATGCGCGCGACAGGTGGCACCGTTGCCGGGGATGACGGCAAATTACCGTTGTCCCTAGCGGAACAACACTTGGGAGATTTATGGAGTAATAAGTTATTTTCTGTTCTTTGTTTGACCTCAGAAAAAGTCAGTAAATTAATCCCAACATTATGAGAAATTATTTATGCAGAAGGATTGACTGAATTTTGTTGAATATGTTGTTGTGATTTTTTATCTTCACTCAAGATGGCTGGTAACAACAACAATCAGGATGAGAGAAGCAATGACATTCGGGAGCTTGCAAGGATTATCCAGCAGTCCCAAAAGGATCAAATCCCGAAGGTCGACGTTCCCTTATTCGATGGTAACAACGCCTCGGGATGGGCAGAAATGTTCGAGCAATTGAGAAGTTGCTGCGAATGGTCGAATGAAAAGATGCTGCGAATGGTGAAGAGATACTGCAAGATCCAGTACAAGGAAGAGGTGGAGGAGTTGGTACAAGATTCGATGGACTGGGCAGAATTCAAAAGGAAGCTGCTAGAAAAGTACCAGTTGAGCGATCAACTGTTGGACTTGACCGATTTGAGGAAGGTTAGTCGGAAAAGTTTTGGTACAACAAAGCAGTTCCTTACTGAATTCGAGCGGGTGGCAAGGTTAGTTCCTGAGCTTCCAGAGAAAGATCGTTGCCTCATCTTCCTGGATAATTTCACGGAAGTGGAGCAGCTAAAATTGGTAAAAGGAATGAAAGAGCGATATGATTGGCCAAAAATTCGAGAGAATTTATTGGCCCGGAACTTTGATTTGATCCTCTACCGATTGTTGAAACAGTAGAAGGAGAATCGAGAGAGGATACAGTTGGAAAAAGATAAGGACAGGGAAGTCTATAAAACCTTATCTGACATGAAGGAAATGATGACCAACATGAAAGAAGAGCGGTTGAAGCTTCAAGTGATGATGGCTAAGGCAAAAACTGGGAAGAGAAAAGGGAAGGAGCCTGTCATTGAAGAGAGTAGTAGTGAGAGTGAGAGTGAGGAGGAAAGGGAACCCCCTTGAAGTTGACCAAGGCTGAGAGGAAAACCTTGAACCAGATACGAGGAGGGCAAGGTAATTCTCGTAAACAAGGAGAAAGCAGCAAGAACGGAGGAAATGGAAGCGGGGAGCGACAGGTTGATCAAGGACAACAAAATCAAGGTCAACAGACTCAACCACAGGGTGGTCGAGGTCGTGGTAGGGGCCGCGGAAACGGAGGCGGACGTGGGAACTGGCAGGAATACGTCAGCAAATATTACGATATGAAGGGGCACGTTATTTGTTTCTGCCAGATTCTCGCCAAGGACGAGAAGGACCATATCGTCTTAACGACGATTCGAGGAGAAGTCTTTGACTTCGAGGGAAATTTCATCGATCAGGATATTGAAGGAGGAATAAGAAAAGAGGTTTTTCGACGAATGGGCCATCCTCATCCGGCCACGTTCCGCCTAGCTTCTCCTGAAGAGCAAGTCTTTTTTAGTTAGAATAAATAATGGCTTCTCTGGAGATTGGTGGGTGTGACGAAAAAGAGTTGAAGGAAAGGAAAGAAGACATCGCTTATCGGGCGCGAGAAGTAACCAGGAAACTGGGCAAATGTCGAGATTCGATTATTCAATTATGTGTTGACATGGATAGAGTCTGGTCGAACCTTCCTAATGTGTTCCTTTTTGGTGGATGGGGGAACGAAGGTTAGGATGGGTCTGCACCTGCGGCCGCTTCGGCGTAGGAAGCAATGCCAATGACACGGCCAATGACGATATCCAGACCTGTACTCAAGCGAGGGATGCCAACCGTCATGGTGCAGACGAGAAAAGGAAGAAAAACCTCACAATCGCAGCCTGCGCCAGGAGAAAGTTCAAAGGAACCTCAGGAAAAAGAACCTATTCAGATAGAAGAAGGGGATGATGATGAGGAAGATGAAAGATTGCGAGCAGAGGATGAACTGCTAGCAAAGCAAAGAGCTATGGAAAGGGCGTCGGAAGCAGGGAAGACCCAGGTCGAGGAAGAAGAACCTCGCAAAAAGAAGAACGTGTACTCAATTCCTGTTGAACAAGGGATTGATTTTGAACAGCTGGTGGATCGTATTCTGGAAAGTCAGCGTGATCTGGTTACCTTAAAGGAGATTCTTGCAGTATCGCCAAAGCTTCGCGAGGAATTCAAGCAACGCATGACTCGGAAGAAAGTCATGACAATTAAGCTGAGTGAGATTATCCCTCCAGAAGCTAACTGGGCACCTCCTGGCACAAAGATGGACTGACGATGCGTGGCCACAGGCCTCATAAAAGTTCGAATCGGCCGTGGAGAGTTTTCGGCTCTCATAGACGATGGGGCTGAAATGAACATTATGAGGGAGAGGCATGCGATTGAAGCTGGAATTCAGATCAATCGCAATGACTTTGGATATTTGATTAGAGTCAGCGGGGCAACACCATTTTGCGGGACGACTAGTGGCGTGATGGTCACAGTTGGGAAAGTAAAAGCGAGATCGTACTTTTATATGTTGTCAAAGGTTGAGCACGAAGTGTTTTGGGGAAGATCTTTTCAATGTCGCACAGAGAGCATAATCTTCAACAAACATGATGGCACCATGTTTGTAGCTTTATGCGATCCGGTTTCTGGCTACTATGAAGTGGTAAAGTGCGCAAATACCGGACCGACAAATTCAAGGAACCGGTTAAATCCCGAATCATATACCTTTTTAAAATCTGAGAAGTTGAGGAGGGAGAAAGAGGCGATCGATGAAGAAAAGGATCCTCAGGAATTTTCGTTGACATTGCCTAGTATCTCGCAGGCAGTCGATTTTGCAGCAAGCCATCCTACAATTGATCCGAGCCTGGTACAGGCCCTGATGGAGGCTGTGGTTGACAAGGAAGGTGCAGGAATCATGCATCTTGTTTATCGGCCAAATGAATCTCATATGGAGGAATCACTGCCATCAGCCAGACAAGAGTTTTTTTTAGGGGACGAAAGCTCAGCGTTGGCTCCAAGAGGAAGTATAAGAAAGTAGGGGAGAAAGCGCGACCAGTGCCAGTTCTGATCACTCAGGAAAAGGAAGTGTATTACAAGGAAGAACGCGAGTGGATCAGAACATTGAAGAAGAAAGGTGAGAGGGGACCGTGTCGGTTGACAGAAGACAGGATCAAAGAAATGATCATTGGAGAGGATGACCTCCTCATCAAGGAGGAAACCCATTTTTTTATCGACGTTATGAGGAAAATTCATCTGGCTTATGCTTTTGATGATGAGCGTGGAAGGTTGGACGTCGATATGATTCCAATGATCCGGATTCATACGGTACCGCATGAGCCATGTAATGTGGGAGGTCCACGATATCCGAATCCATACGATCACCGGAAGGTGGTGGATTATCTTGATGATAAGATTCGGACCAAAGTGGCAGACTATTCGTATGGGTCGTATGCATCCCCTTGGTTCTGCTTCATCAAGCCGAACGGTGTTTAACGATGGGTTCAGGACCTGCAGAAATTGAATTTTGTAACAGTCCGAGATGCAGGTGGACTTCCGAACGCCGACCAACTCTCGGAATCTTGTGCAGGCCGGCCCATCATCACCTTAATTGATTTGTATTCAGGGTATGATCAGTTCCCGCTGTACACAGCAGATCGACCTATGACGGCGATGCACACGCCTCGGGGACTGCTTCATATGTGCGCGGCTCCACAGGGTTGGACATGTGCCGTAGCAATTGTGCAAACATATATGATGAGAGTCATGCAACCGCTTTGTCCAGACGTGACTTCTCCATATATTGATGATTTGGCTATCCCAGGACCCCGAATTAAAGACGAGACTGAAGTGTTACCCGACGTTCGAAAATTCGTGTGGAAACACATCAGCAATGTGGAAAAGGTTTTGAGGAAGCCGAAGGAATATAACCTCACTGCTAGTGGGGTTAAATCAAGGCATGGTATGAGGAAGGCGGTAATATTTGGTTTCCTTTGTGATGAGAAGGGTCGTCGGCCAGATATGAAGAAGACGAATAAGATCTTGGAATGGCCGACCCCCTTCAGATTTATTACCGACGTTCGGAGTTTCCTCGGGACATGCAGATTTTGGCGTATTTTTATCCGCAGATTCGCAGCAAGGGTGGAACACTTGCGGAAGTTAGTATGCAAGAACCAAGTCTGGGAGTGGGGACCGAAGCAGCAGGCAGCCGTTGAGGATATTAAAGCTGAGTTTCGAGAAGGCGGCGTGATTCTGGGAGTTCCTTGCTTTGACGATGCCGAAGGTCGTCCTTTCATCATCGAGACCGATGCAGGTCCTACCGCTTTGGGAGGAGTTTTGGTCCAAAAGGATGGAGAAGGATGGGAACGACCATTGAGGTTCGAGAGCAGAACTCTGAATATTACTGAGCGGAACTACTCCCAGTTCAAGAAGGAAACTCTCGTTCTGCTTCACTGTCTGCGCATTTTCAGGAATTATGTATTTGGTAGACGGTTCATTCTGCGAGTTGATCCTACGGCTCTGGCTGAATCACTGAAGAACTATTCTCCTTCTGATCCAACCATTGCTCGATGGCTGACGTATATTTGGATGTTCAATTTTGAAATTGAGCGCATCTCAAACACTCAGAATCGAGCAGATGGATTGAGTCGTGTTGATTGGGACTCATCAACGGATCAGGCTGAGGATTCAGTTCCTGTCGATGGATTCCTCGAAGGAGAAGAGTCACAGTTGAGTATTAACTCATACAATTACTTGGCGGATGCAACAACCCGGAATGGGAAAAAACCATCCGGAATGCTCCTTGTTTCCATCATGTGCGATCAGAGCTCATGATTGGGGAGCCGTTCATTGAGGAAGACCCATGGGGTGAAAGAACATCTGAGCAGATGATGAATTTGGCTTTGTTTGATGAAGTCAAGCTCATCAAAGAGCCGCTGACGATTGAGTATGGGCATGAGCAGGCTGATAAGACTTTCAGGATCACTGGAGAGATGTCATTCCTTGTGAACTCTCTAATTCACGAGGACCGCCTGAAAATGATGAATGAAGAAGCAAAAGGCAATCAAATCAGAGAGGCTTTCAGAGAAGGAGAGTATGATGGGGAGTATAAATTAATGGGAATGTGGTTGAATGGTGAGTTGAGTGAGGATGAGGTGGATCCAGATGTTTGTCAGAAAAGTAAGGATTTTGTTGTAAGATATGGTCATCTTTTCAAGAAATCCAACGATGACATTCCGAGAAGAGTGGTATGTGGGTTTATGCGACAACTTGATGTGATTGCGGCTTTGCATGATGGGGTCGCAGGCGGACATAGATCGGCACGAGTCACTTTGAAAAAGATTCAACATCTTTATTTTTGGGAAGGAATGAACAAGATGGTAAATGACTTCTGTAACTCTTGTCTTCCTTGCCAAAGACGATCAAATCTGCGTTTTGTTGAACCTATTAGTCCACGCTATGTCGCTGAGCCAGGAGCGGTAGTACACCTTGATCTGTTAGTCATGCCACCTGGAATAAACAGGTACAGATATATCTTCAACGCAAAAGATAATCTGACTGGGTTCATTGATGGCTGTGTCATTCGCGAGCGTACTGGGCATGTTTTAGCATAATGCATTGAGGAATATTATCTCTTAAACTTGGAGTAAGCTTTAGCTATACTACAAGGGCACATCCCCAGGCCAATGCGCCAGTTGAACGTGGACATGCCACTTTAACAAATTTATTGGCAAAATGGTGCGGAGACGATCCTCCAAGATGACCAATATATATGAGAACGACGTTCTTTGTTGAGAATGTCACCATAAAGCGGGCAACTGGATACGCTCCGGTCATATTGTGGTTTGGACGGCATGCAACTTTTCCGATCGAAAGTTTTCTGACCACTTGGAGAAAGCAGGATGTGGAAACAAAACTTTCAACGGAAGAGTTATTGGAACTGAGAGCAAGACAAGTAATGATCACTGAGGAAAGGATTGAGGAAGCCGCTGCCTCTACTGCAGAAAGCAGACAGGCCGACAAGGAAAGATGGGATAAGGGGCCTCGCGTTCGTAAGGAACCATTGGAAGTCGGGGATGTTGTGCTTCTTTATGACTCGTCCTTGGAAAAACAATGGTCTCGAAAATTGGACAGCCGATGGTTGGGGCTCTATCGTATTATCAGAAAATCTGAGCATGGGGCTTATGAGATCGAAGAGATGGATGAGACTCGAGGTAGAAATTGGGTGTTGGGATCGCATTTGAGAAAGTTTATTCCAAGGACTTAATAAAAAGGGTTTTTTTTTTAGTATAAGTTTCTCTTTCTTTTTTAAGACTCGCTTTTCCTCTTTTATTTCTTTTGGGATCACTAAATGCTGACTGGTTCTGAGGACATACAAGGAAATTGTAACTTTGGACTCTTGGGATTTGATTTTATTCCGGGACCTATGGTTCCATGGTTTTTTTGTAATAATTAATAAATTTTATGACACCTGTTCGTGGAATTATGTTGTGATTTTTGGATCGAAAATTTGTTGATTCCTAAATTTGAATGATTTCTTGTTTCGATGAAATGTGATGCAATGCAAATTTATTAATATTTTTGACTGGAATGTTATGGAACTCTCTGTGAAAATGTATGTTGTTATTTGATGAATATTCTCGTTGTAAAAATTCTAGGAAAATGATATGTAATTTGCATTATATGGCTTGTGGCATAACTACGAGTTATTCACAAAACATGTAATGCAATTATTTATCATAGCCTAGGACTTTCGTAATGTTTTTAGTTATCATGTTATGAAGAGTCCTGATGCAGTGAGCTTTGTAGGTGATAGTGAGGCCTACACCGGAACTTAGTTCCTGGTCCATAGTGGGATGCTGTCACTTTTTCTTTTTTTAGAAAGGTGGCTACACTATCATTGAAAGGGAGGATGGTATTATTGTGATTGTCGGAATCTTGCTTGTGAGGAATGACGACTGCCACTTGTCATGAGGAAAAAAGTGGTCACCTTGACCTTGTGACAAATGGGGTCGCCTCGCCTCTATGGTCGGGTCTGACCAGCCTAGGTCATAGAGAAAGGGTAGATCAACCTTGCAGGTAGGGGACTGGTTAGCACATGATACTGGAATCGGAGGGAAGGTGGTGAGGCTCGAGTCTAAAGCGGGGCTTGACGTCGAGATGTTATCCCTTGAGGATTACACCACTCCTCGACGCATATCACAAAGCATGCAGGAAAAATGTCATATGTGATAACTCGTAATTGGAATGGGATACAAAACCTGGACAAAGACTTTTGATAAATGGTTTCTCTCATGAATGGTTGGTTCAGATTCTGTCAGGGCCGCTCAGAAGGTTATTTATTTTGAAACACCCGTCAGGGGGTTAACCTGACTTTTTTTTAGATAAATGTAAATATTAGCCGACTGAGGTTTAGAAGGCTAGCCGGAGGCTATTTCCGGTACCATTCTGAGAGACTAAATGATGTTTAGAGTTGCCGCCAGTGGGATGATGCTGGGACCATTTAGACAAAGTTCCTTGAAAATTTTTTAGTAATTCCGGAAACCGGTATAAATTCAGGTTTTGATAAAAGGCTTGCCAAAGGCTATATCTGGTACCATTCCAATCAAGGATGATTGAATTTTAGATTACCGAGGCAATAACTCGAATTTTAGTTAAAAGCTCCGACTTATTTTCGATTGAAAGATATTATGTTAAAAAGAGTTTCCTAAGGATCCAGAGAACCCTATATTATTAACTAATATAGGGTGAACGACGGGGACGTCGTTCAATGGGGTTTGCGATTGCTGTCGGGGCAAAAACCCTGACAGGGGTATTTGCAGGTGTTTTTGAACGTCGGGCGTTGTCCGACTCTTGTGTTGAATTGAAGGACTTGATGAGACTGACGTTTTGCCAAAACGTTTATTCAGACCTGACCTATGACTGAGAAACTAAGAGTTTTCAGACTTTAGTCTGAACGCATGTGACGCCCGGAGGTATCGGGTGTGAATGACAAAAGCTACGTTTTTGTCGAAGCCGCAGGAACGTGCGGATAGAGAAATGTTAAAATTAAACCTATTCTATCTATAATGGTGTTTCGTGGCTTACCAGCCGCGCGATTCAGGGCTTAAGTGGGCTAAAAAGAGGGTTGCGTAGGGTATAGGGCCGCGACGCAGGCCGTGGGGTTTGACGTCGAGCCTTGGGGCCGATAGGCCAATGCCCAGACTTACCCGGTTCGATGGCCGACTAAGCCGCGGCCACGCGGCTAACCGGTATGGGTAGGCCACAAGCTGAGTAAGCCGGCAGGACACAGGCTGGGCATGCCGATAGGCCACAACCGGGGCAGGCCTGCTAGGCCACAGGCAGTCGGCACCTGAAAGGCCGCAGGCAGGGAAGGTACCTGGGCAAGCTCTTCATATTGAAGAGCTGCTCTTGTTCAGCGTGGAACAGGAGCTAGCCCAGTAGGTACCGGTACATGACTCTCACCCTGCTGATATGGGGATCGAATCTCGCTCGTGGTACTGCCGGGCTAGCTCCTTTTTGAGTTGCCCGTTTCTTTTAGAGGCGCGGTCTACCTCGACCGCCTGATCTGAAAGATCGCGCGGTCCAGATCGGCCGCGCACAGATCAGCATGGCCCCTGAGCAACAGTAACACGCATAAATAAAAAAAAACAATAAATAAATAAATAAATAAAGAACAAAAGCGCCACATGGCGCCCGAATATGTGCCCAAGGGCACATAGCTGTAACCAATGTTTTTTTTTTTATTACCAGTAAAAAAAAA